AGCTGCGGGAGGAACGGGGGGGGGTTTGGGGGGGTCAGGCACCCCGTGAGGGGATGAAACGCCCCCCGCCCTGCCGTGCGAGCCCCCCGCGCCGCCCCCAGGATCAGCGAGGTGGAGCCCAAGTACTACGCGGACGGGGAGGACGCCTACGCCATGAAACGGGACCTGACCCAAATGGCCGATGAGGTACAGCCCCCCCTCCCTCCCCGGGACCCCCAAACCCTCCTGGGGGGCTTCCCCCCCCCACCCAGGCACCCCCGGTAACGCCTCTGTGCCCGCCCAGCTGAGGAAGCAGGTGGAGCAGAAGGAGCGGGGCCGGCCCCCAGCCCCCGCCGAGTCCCCCCGGAGTGGGGATGGGGTCTGCGGCTCGGGGGGGCCCCCCCCGCACCCCCCCCCGGGGCCCCACCACGAGGACGGGGGGGGCGACAGCAAAGACGTCAGCGAGGTCAGCGAGACCACCGAGAGCACGGACGTCAAGGACAGCTCCGAGGCCTCCGACTCCGCCTCATAGCGACCCCCGGGAGCCCCCCCAGATCCCCGGGCCCCCCCCGGGCCCCGCTGGTGCTTGCGGGGGGCAGTAAAGCCCCTCGGTGTCCAGCCTGGCCGTGTCTGTGTGTGTGACCCTGCTCGGGGGGTGCTCCTGCCTTTTTGGGGGGTCGTGGGGGGGTCTCGCTCCCTCCCCGCGGGCTGGGGGCGGGGCTTTATCTTGGCCACGCCCCTCTGCCGCTGGGCGGTGCCGCGGGGGCGTGGCCTCGGCCGATCTCAGCCGCTGATTGGTGGGGGCGCGGCTCGCGCCGGGATCCGGCCGCTGATTGGCGGAGACGCGCGGCGGTGGCGCCGCCGTGCGGAGGGGAGGAACCGGCGCCGCTGCTGGGGGGGGGACCGGGATCGGAACCGGCACCGGGATCGGAACCGGCACCGGGATCGGAACCGGGACTGGGATCAACACCGGGATCGGCACCGGAGCGGCGCCAGGGCAGCGGGAACGGAGCCGGGACCGGGCCGGAGGCGATTTCCTCCCCCGCCCATCTCCCCCCAGGTTCGGGAAGCCGCGGTTCGGTTTCCCGGGGTTGGCGGAGCTCGGGGAGCCACCGGAGGCGGGGGGGCTCCGGTACCGGGCTGGATGTGGGGGGTACCGGAGCACCGGGAACGGGAGGGAGGTCACGGGGGTTGGGGGGAAGCAGCACCGGAGGAGGGGAGGGGGCGTGAGGAGGGGTCTTGCACTGGGAAGGGTTTTAGGGGTACCAGCAGCAGATTCGGGGGTCTGAGGAGGGAACCGGTTCTGTTGGGGCGGTCGGTACCGGGACCGGGGGGGCTCCATGGGGGTGACTCCCCCCTCTTTGTGGGGCTGGGGGGACACTGAGGCACTCCCAGAGCCAGGGGAGCCCCTCACCCCAACACCAGGGCAGTAACATCACCCCGAAATCCTCCCCGAGCCCTTTTTGGGGTTCAAGGCCGGTCTCTAAATCTCTTAAAACTTTCTCTTTATTATAATATATTTTTAGATATAAAAAGGAAATTTTACAAGTTTTTTAACCCAACATGTACAAAAATGGTCAGGAAATGGTTGTGTTTCTCCCCTTGTGTGTGGTGTGGGGGGGGGAAAGGATTTAGGGGGGACCCCCCCCACCCCCCAGGTCCCTGGAGGGGGGGCTCCTGAAAGGTTTGGGGGGGAAGGGGGGGGTGAAAGGCCTTCAAACACCCTGAGCTGTGTTGGGGGCCCCCAGCCCCTCGTTACCCGCAATGCTGAGGGGGGGAGTGGGGGGGTGGAGATGTGCAGCACCCCCAAATCCCCCCCCCCCCCAATTAGATTCTGCCCCTGTTGGGATCCTTCTGTCCCACGGGGGGGTTGGGGGGCTCCTCAGTCGGGACCTCTTCCACGCCACTGCCTGGAGGGGGGGCACAAAATCAGCCCCTACTCCCCTTCCAAGGGGACTCGGGAGGGGTCCCAGCCCCCCATTTCCTTGGGTGAGGAGTTCTGGGGTCCCCCCAGGGTAGAAGGGGTCACTCACCATCGCCGTCATCCGGGATCTCCTGCACGTCCTCGTCGTCATCCAGGATCACCACGCAGTCCTCGCCGCTCTCGCTGCGCAGGGAGCGTTCAAGGTTTGGGGTTCCCCCCCTGGACCCCCCCAAACCCCGCAGGGAGCGTTCAAGGTTTGGGGTTCCCCCCCTGGACCCCCCAAACCCCGCAGGGAGCGTTCAAGGTTTGGGGTTCCCCCCCTGGACCCCCCAAACCCCGCAGGGAGCGTTCAAGGTTTGGGGTTCCCCCCCTGGACCCCCCCAAACCCCCCCTGGGCACAGCTCACCTGTCAGGGGGTCCCTCGGCGCCCTCCCCCAGCAGGTAGAACTGGAGCGGGTTGGGCCAAAGCTCCTCCTTGATGATCTGGGTGGACACGGGGAGGTCAGGGGGGTGCTGGGAGCACTGGGAGCACTGGGAGGTGTCACTGGGAGCACTGGGAGGGGTCACTGGGAGGTGTCACTGGGAGCACTGGGAGGGGTCACTGGGAGCACTGGGAGGGGTCACTGGGAGGGGTCACTGGGAGCACTGGGAGAGGTCACTGGGAGCACTGGGAGGGGTCACTGGGAGCACTGGGAGGGGTCACTGGGAGCACTGGGAGCTCACCTCGGCCACACGGTCCCCCGCAGGGAAGCTGTGGTCCCCAAACCACGCGAAGAAGCTGCGGGGGGCTGGGGGGCCCTTGTGGGAGCGGGACCGGGGGTCCTGGCCCTGCCACCACCGGATCGGGGTCGAGTGGGACACGAGGTGACCTGGGAGGAGGGACAGGACGTGAGGGGCTCACTCTGGAGCCCCCAGACCCCTCCTCGGGCTGTTCGAAGCCCCCCGTCCCCGTCACCCACCCGAGGGGCTGCGCACGAACTCCTTGGCCACGACGTCGTTCTGGAAATAGGGGTTGACGCTGAAGAAGAAGCGGATGCGGCACCCGGGGCGGCTCTGGCCGAACTCCTCCACCTGCGGGCCCAGGGCTGTTACCTCGGGGGGGCCACACGACCCCGAATCGCCCCCCAAAACCCCTCCAGGCACCTGCAGACTCGTCATGTAGCTCAGCGCGTCCTCGTCGCGGTCGCTGATCATGGCCGAGAGCTGCGGGTGGTTCAGGAACTGGGGACGGCGGCGTCAAGGAAAGATCTAGAACTCCCCACACGGCCCCCCCCCCCAGACTGCAGCCCCCCAAAGGATACGGCGGTGACCCAGAAGCCGGGGATGTGCTGGATGAGGCGGTTGCGGTGCTGCAGGTGCGGCCGGCGGCGGAGGCAGAAGCGGGCGCGGAGGCGGCGAAAGGCTCGAGCCGCCTCCTCCTCCACAGCCTCCAGCTCCAGCTGCACGGCCTCCAGCGCCGCCAGGTACCGCGCCGGGCCTTCGTCCCGCTCCTCCTCCTCCTCCTCGTCCTCGTCCAGGGAGATCACCGCGCTCTCCTCGGCCACGTGCTCCTTGGGGACCGGGACCCCCGCGGGCTCTGGGACCCCCAGGAGATCCGGGAGCCCGGGGCCGCCCCGGCTCTGCCCCACACAAGCTGTGGGGGTGGGCTCCAGGCCCTCTTGGGGCTCCGTGGTGGGCTCCACTCCCCCTTTCTGCTCTCTGTCCCGCTTTTCGTGGCCAGTGACGGTGGTCTCCAGGCTCCCTGTGTCCTCCAGGACCTCCCTGCCGGCCTCCAGGGCCCCCCTCCCGCTTCTCTCCCACTCCAGGCACCGGGGACTGGTCTCTACGCTCCCCCTGGGCCTCGCAGGGGTCTTTGCCTTGCGCCTGCTGGTGCTTTTCAGCTCCCCGGCGGCAGAAGCATCGCTCTCCACGTTGCCCAGGACCTTGGTGGTGCTGGCCCGGCCCTCCTTGCTCCTTCTCCCTTGCTCCAAGCAGCGAATGACGGCTGTCTCCAGACTCCCTTTGCGCCCGTTGGTGGTCCCAGCGCTGCCCGTGGCCTCTCTGGTGGTCTCCAGGTTTCCCCTGGATTCCGCAGGAGTCTCCAGGACACCCCTGCTCCGCTCCAAGGGGTGGGTGACAGCAACTCCCAGGTCCCCCGCGGTCTCCATCCCCTCCGTGACCTCTCTGGCGCTCTCCAAACCCTCTTTTTCCTGCTCCAAGCAGTCAGTTCTTGTTGTCTCCAGGCTCCCTTTGCATCTCTTGCTGTTCTCCAGGCTCCCGTCGGGCCCGTTGGGGGTCTCCAAGCTCCCTGCTGTCCCTCCGGTGGTCTCCAGGTCCTCTGTGACCTCTCCGGTGCTCTCCCGGCTGGCCACGGCCTGTCCGGTGCTCTCCCGGCTGGCCACGGCCTGTCCGGTGGTCTCGCCCCCCCCCGTGCCCCCCCCGGGGGTCTCCAGCCCCTCCCCGGTCACAGCCGCGCTCCCGGGGCCGCCGCCAGGGGGCGCGCGCGCGTCCCCGCCCCGCGCATGCCCGGACCCGTCACCCCGCGCGCGCGCGCTGCGGCCCTCACCACGACCTCCGACGGGGGTGGGGGAACGGGCCCTCTCTCCGCGGGTAACGGCGGCGGCAGGCCCCGTCCCGCTGGGCTCGTCCAGGCGGCGGAGCTTGGCCGGGGACGGCCGGTCCGCCCCGGCCCCGGCCCCGCTCATGGCGGCGGTTCCGGCGCCCGCCAGGGCCGAAGCAGCGGCCGAAAAAGCGCGCGCGCCGCCGCCGCCGAGGCCCCGCCCATCCGCTCGTCACTCGCGCGCTGCCCATTGGCCGGTTGCCATGGCGACTCCCGTCACGCGGGGCGGGCGGGAAAGGGGCAGCCAATGGGCGCGCGCTGCTTTGGCGGGCTCCGAGAGCCCGGTGGGCGGGGCGGGGGAGCCGCGCGCATGCGCATCGCGAGAAGCGCACGTGCGGGCGGCGCGAGAGCCCCGCCGTGAGGGGAGAGGCCCCGCCCCCCCGCCGCCATGAGGGGCCGGAGGAGCGCGGGGACAGCGGGGACCCCCCGGAGGAGACGGGTTCCCCCCAAACTGTCACCTGAGGGACTGGGACCCCCCCCCACGGTGACTTTACAGGGGCTGAAACACCCACACGATGTTACCCAAAGGACTGGGGGATTGCAGGAGGAGTGGAGATGAAGGATACCCTCACAGTGAGGCCAGAGGGGCCGGGACACACACCCTGCTGCTGTCACCTGAAGAGCTGAGGGGAGGAGGAATCCCCCACCAGTGAGTCCAGAGGGACTGTGACCCCCCCATAGTGATTTCAGAAGAGTTGTGTCGTTGTTCCCCCACTCCCCGTCTCTGCTGAGGGGCTGAGGGACCACAGGGGTGGGCCAGGACCAGCACCCACACTGACTCCAGAAGGGCTGGGACCCCCCCCCAACAGTCACCCAGAGGGGTCAGGGACTGCAGGAGAAGCAGGACCCCCAGGGAGGATGGGGCAGCCCCACCTGAGGGAGTGGGACCCCGTCCAGTGTAAGCCCAGGGGGCTGCGAGTCCCCACCTGTCACCTGAAGCACTGTGAGGACACCCCACAGCGAGTCCTGAGGAGATGGGACCACCCCGACGTCACCTGAGGGCACAGGACCCTCCTTCGGCTGGATCCAGGACAGGGAGACCCTCCCTGAGGACTGAGAATCCCTCAGCAGCTTCACTGGGGGCTGGGGACCCCCGCCTGGCCCCCTCCAAGAGGCTCAGGACCCCCCCTGACTGCTCCCAGGACATTCAGGAACCCCCAGTTCTTCCAGAGGGGTTCAAAACCCCCACCCCAGCTGCTCCCCGGATACTCAGGACACCTCCAGTTTTTCAAAGGGGGCTCACGACCCTCCCCAGCTGCTCCCAGGATATTTGGGACCCCCCACAATTCTTCCAGGGGGCTCAAGACATCCCCCTCCAGCTGCTCCCAGGACATTCAGGACCCCCAGTTCTTCCAAGGGGACTCAGTACCCTCCCCAGCTGCTCCCAGGACCCCCACCCCAGTTCTTCCAGGGGGTTCGGGACCCCCCACCCCAGCTGCTCCCAGCACATTGAGGACCCCCGGCTGCTCGCAGGGGTCACAGAGCCTTCTGTCAGCACCAGGCGCCCATGAGGCGACAGCCCGAGGTGAGCGTGCCCCTGCTCCGGGGGGCCTGGGGGGGCTGTTTGTCATCCACGGGCCCCGTGACCTTTGCTGGGACCTTCCCCGGGGGCAGGAAACGGCTGCGACAGCGGCGGCGGGGGGGGGCACCCGGCCCCCACCCCCTAAACAGGGACAGACAACCCTCCCCTACCCCCCCCCACCCCGAGCTTCCTCCCCAAAGCGCCCCCCATGACAAGAACTCGGGGACACCGTCGTTCCATGGCTGTATGTACACAGGGGCGCCCCAAAACCCGGCTGGGGCGCACATGGGTCGGGCGGGGTCCCACGGAGTGACGCTGCCCCCACCCCGGGGTGGGGGGTGGGGGGGCAATTTGGGGGTGCCTTTCCATCTCCCCACGCCGCAGCTCAGCCCCCCACCCCCAATCCCCCGAGTGATTTCGGGGTGCCGCACGTTTTCAGAGGTGAAACGGGGGGGCTGTGAGGATTTCGGGTGGTGCCGAGTGCGCTCCCCCCGCAGCTCACGTGAGCCAGGCCAGCGCCAGGTAAAGCCCCAGGGCCAGCGCGGCCGTGGGGCCCCCCCCGTCCCCCCAGGCCACCGGAACCAGCACGGCCAAGGCCAGAACCACCCCGCACCCCCTCAGGGCCCCCCCCAAACTGCTCCCTCGCCCCCGGGGGGGCCGCGCCGGCACCACCAGCGCCCCCTCCACCGGCCCCCCCCTCCCCAGCAGCACCGGGGGGCTGCAGCGGCCCCCCCCCTCGTAGCGCAGCGCCATCTCGTTGGCCAGGGAGGTGTTGGGGGCTCGCTCGGGGAAGGGGGGACCCCCGTTTCTCGGGGGGGGGTCGCTGTCGCCGGGGTCCCCCCGCAGCCGGCGCAGGTGGGACAGGTAGAGCTGCTCCAGCTCCCGCGCCACCGCCTCGTCCTCGGCGCCCTGGGGGGGCAGAGTTTGGGGTGCCCCCGTCCTCGGGGGGGCAGAGTTTGGGGTACCCCCTTCCTCGGGGGAGGGGGGAACCCCAGCTTTGTGGGGAGAGGGTGTTGTCTCACCTGTGCTGGGGGCTGCTCCGCATCCGGGGGGGGCGTTGGGGCACGGTCAGGCTCTGTGGGATGGAAAGGGGGGGGGTGAAGGACCCCCACAATTCGGGGGGATGCCCAGCATTGAGGGGGATCCCCAAAACTGGAGGGTGCCCCGGTAGTTGGGGTGCACCCCCAGATTTGGTGGGGGACTGATACTTACCTGTGCTGTGCTCGGGGGGTGGGGGCTGCACGTCCTCCGCCTCCTGTGGCCTTTTGGGGGGACACGGGTGCGGGGGGGTCACCGGAGAAGGCCGATTCTCCCCCCACCCCCCAAATTAGGGGCGAGAGAGTAGCATCTGCACCCCCCCAGAGCGTGACCCACATCCGGGGCCCGAGGGGTCCGGGGGGAGCACAGGCACGCGCCACAGCCCCCCCCTCAATTTCGGAGGGAGCATGCGGGGGGGGTGGGGGGTTGACCCCATTTTGGGGGTCCCCCATGCAGATTTCCCCCCCCCCCATCTCTTACCTGCCCTTCCCAGGCCTCATCCAGATCCCGGGGGGGGGCGGCTCTCCCACCGCGCCCCCCTCCCCCCCTACGGGGACCCCCCCCCCGGCCCCCCCCGGCGGCCCCCCCCGCCCCCGAGGGTCCCAGGGCCGGTATTGCCGCAGGCGGGTCAGGGGCAGCCCCAGAGCGTCGGCGAAAAGGACCCGCCGGGACCCCCCGCCCACCCCGGGGGGCGCGGGGCTGTCGGGGTCCCCCGGGGGGGCGGCGGGGGCCTCGGGGACCCCCGGCGGGGGCTCGGGGACCTCCGCGAGGGGGGGGGACGGGGTCGAGGCGGGCGGGAGGGGGGTCCCGCCGGCCGAGGGGTCACGGGGGGCTAAGGGGGGGGTCCCGGGGGTTTGGGGGGGGGTCCCGGGGCGCGGGGGGGGCTGGGAGGGGCCCCCCCCGCGCGGGGCACGCCGGGAGTCCGGCCACGGGGGGGGCGCCGGGGCGGAGGCGGGAGCCCGGGCCATGGCGGAGGGGCGGGGCCTGCAGCCGCAGCGCGGGGGCGGGGCCTGGCCCGGGGGCGGGGCCATGGTGGAGGGGCGGGGCCTGCGGGGCGAGCTGGGGGTCCCGAGGGGAGGGGCTGTGAAACGGAGCCCCCCCCCCCCCCCCC